TTCTGTTTAGATGTTGATGAATGTTCTCAGGTCCTGTCAGTCTGTGGCCCTCACAGCATCTGCATCAACACCCCAGGGAGTTTCATCTGCCAATGTTCTCCAGGTTATTCTTCCCCCAGGGGGACCTCTTGGAATCCTGTCAACTCCAACACCTTGAACTGCACAGGTACCAGTCACTACAAGCTGCCTTGAGAAACACAGGGAATATAATCAGGCCGTAATGGCCCCAAAGGCTAACAGCAGTCTGTGAGCCCTCTAGTGGCGCTCGCTGTGGTCCATGGTTCAGAATCTGCCCACAAACCTTAGGACTGGAATGGACCTTGAAAAGTCATTGAGTCCAGTCCAGTCCTCTGCCTTCACAGCAGGACAAAGTACTGTCCCCGACAGATTTCTGCCCCAGATCCCTAAATGGCCCCCTGAAGGACTGAACTCACAACCCTGGGTTTAGCAGGCCACTGCTCAAACCACTGAGCTATCCCTCCTCTTTATCAGCATGTCCACAGGATCAGAACCTCCCTACCCACAACTCCCATCCTTCCTTCCTACTGTGAATTTCCCCAGGGTGCAACCTGACCTGCTGTGTCCCCTTTACTCTCTAGCCTCGGGTTCCTTTTATGCTGCTTTACTGTCAGACCAGCTACTCCTGGCCTGCTCATTCACAGATACTAGCCTGTAAAATCACTCTCAGATGTTTCCATGAATGCTGTCCCAGCCATCCATGGACAGATACAGGGAAACAGCCATATATCCCCATTCCCAACCTTAGCTCCCCAAAATATGCGTCTTATACTGCTCAGTAGACCCCTGGACATTAGAAGCTCATAGATAGTCCAACATTCCAATAAAGGGTAATGTTTATGCACCAACCTTTGTTATCTCAAGTAGAGGTTTCCCAAACACACTGGTTTAGATAACACAATAAAACATGTTTATTAACCAGAGAGAGAGATTTTAAGTGATAAGGCACAAAAGTCAGAATTGGTTACAAAAGAAATAAAAAGTTCCCAAGCTGGATTTCCTTTCATTCTGGGACCACTCCCCTTTGTTCAGTGTTTTTCAGGTATTCATTGATGTAATAAGCAGAGGGAGATAAGGTAGACAGGAGAGGTGGTTACAGGCATGTTTGTCCCCCTTCTTACACCCCAATCCTTGTGTGCTGGAAATACCCTTGCTGGGTCCTGTGGATAGGCAGTATGTGAGCGCCAAACTGTCTTTCAGCTGTTTTGTAAATTTCCTGTTGAGAACTCCCCAGTTGGTCAATCTCTGATTAACCAGGGGATGAATCTTAAGCATGTTGCTGGCATGCCAGTGTGTTCCTGTCTCTGAGGAACTGGCTTATGAGGACTACTCAGGAATTACAACATATTTCAGTAATAATCCTACAGCAAAATCTGATAATTTCACACACAGTGTTTGTTACACACATTTCAACAGGATAATAATATTCATCAGATTATGAGTTTCCAAATGATACCGCACAGGCCATACTTTGTACAAAATAGATCATAGCCATATAAAAGTGGTGAACATGGGGTACAGGTGTAGCCCAGTGGGCAGCTTACCTGTGTTATATTCATTGTTTTGTTATTCTGCTTTATTATATTTAGTAGTAATGCAAGGAGCCTACAGGCTTTTATCCTGTAAGATTTGGCTTTAGTAAATAGTGTGAGGCTTGAGGGCTATAACATTTGGCAGAGACAAATTTAAGTAACTTATCAGTTATAGGGAACTGAAAGTAGCATGCAAGAGGGGGAATTTTGTCCAGCATACCAAAATCAGCCACCCACAAAACATAGCTGACACCAGCATCCGGAAGGTTCTGGACAAAATGTCCAACCGCAAAGGCGCTATGGCAACAAATTGACATGTATGTTAATAGGGTAACATCACACATATACTAACCTATAGAAAACAAACACCTTAAGGTGTTATTATGTCCACTTTCTTAGGAAGGAAGGGAGAGCAGGAACACAAACAAACAGCAAAGAAAGGTGCACTGGACCCGAGTTTTTGACCATCAGGCATGCCAGGGGCAGGATGCAAGTGGGGCGATGCGGGACATCAGCCTGGTTGCACTCCTTATTGGGTATTATTGAGCAGTCACTGGGGTTAGACTCTTGCAAGAGTCTTCTATACACGTGTTAAGAGAGGCTTCTGGGGTAATCAATAATTGTTAAAATAGCAGTAACACAGTGCACTGTGACCCACACTTTGAGGTGGCGGGGGAACTGATTAATGTATGTTTTAATTGCCGCCAAGGGGCCGCAGTAACTCAGAACTTGTACAGTTCGAGCTACCTTAATGTCAGTCACCTCAACTCTCCTGTTCTGTGCCTAGATCTGTCTCTGACTAGCTTCCCCCTTGCTGCTCAGCAGGTCCCGACTAGGTAATGACCTCTCAATGAGTTAATTGTACATTGGCCATCGAGGGAAGAGAGAGGGAGCAGAACCCCCCTCCCCTCTGTTTTTCTTGGGACTTGTTTAAGTAATTGTTGAACCAGTTAAGGGGTAAATTATTGACGGAGGTATGTCCCTATATATACATGTGTGTGTGTAGTGTTAGGGTTTTTGTGTAGATTTAGAGTAAAGTTAGTTAGTATAATTTACTTGAGCTCATTTAAGTAGGAGTTGAAGGAAGTCAAGTAGTCAGCTGAGAATTCTGTGGGCGACCAGAGACATAACATACAAACATAGAAGATCATGGAAGAACTTTCGTACGAATGCAACATCACCATAGCCAGGCTATGTTCAGTCACCCTGACTGGTAGCATATAATCATACATCTAATATGTCATATGTCTAATACATTATATGATCACACGTCTAAAATAATGTACCAACTAACGCTTGTTGGTGAGTAATAACTCAAATGAAATAAATAAATACAAAGCAACAGGACTGTCTGAGCACAGCTGTAGGTATAAGTCCAACTTCCACCTAAGCAGGGTGTTAAAATCCCAGAAGACTCAAATCCCAGAAGATTAAATTAAATAATAATGTAAAAATGGTTGATTAAGAGGTATTAAAGGAACCAGGGAAAACCCTTATCAGAAGGTACCAAAAGATTTGTTCCCCCACAGGTCATAAAGACCTTGTAACTATGCCTTTATCCCATATCATGTAATCCACCAAGCCAACAGTTTTTGTGCCTTTAACTTGTAATATCAAAGAAATCCTCACTAGCAAAAGTCATTGAGGCTTTGACCAGCAGCTAACATGTTGCTAAAAAGGGAAGTGCTTTTGTATTCTGTGCTTGGGAGAAAAAAGGGAAGTAGGCAAAGCAAACTGCTTCTAACTCAAGCAAAATAATTATTAGCAAAATAATTAAAATGAGAAACCCCTAAACATCTAACCGTAGGTGGGAAGTCTGTTACCAGATTTGCCCATTACTTTGGGGTACACTCTTTTATTAGGGTTACTCTTCTGGGGGTGGGTGGGCTCTGTAATTCTATTAATGTAGTGCTTGTGTCACTTGTGTTTTCATATGGAGCTCTACTTCTCCCTTCTGCAAGTCCCCTCCCAATGGAGCTACCCTGCAGGACCTCGGTTCCACAGGGCTGGGTTCCTCCAGCCCAGAACCAGATGAATGAACACACACACACACACACCACACACACACACACACACACACACACACACACACACACACACACACACACACACACACA